AGGACCATCCCCGGACAACTGCGCTCAGATGGTGGCGTTAAGTCCAACTTGATAGAATGAGCAGAGGCAGTTGTCCGGGTAGTGCGTGAGGTGAGCCAGGGACAGAAAGTCGTTCGTGTGGTCCTCAAGAGAGCGTTCCCCCTGCTCCAGCAGGAGGATTTGGAAGGCGGGGTAATCCATAACACGAAAATAAAAACCGGAAAAACAAATGAGGGGAAAGGCGCCGCTATACTTTACTTAGGGTTGGTTATTCTGTCACGACACGGTGTGTGGAGGCAGGCAGGACGACAAGGATTCCAATAATGACTTTTAATGTAGACACAGCAAGGCAGATTCAGGTAGGACACAGACAGCAAGAAAGACAGACAGACTAGAATACACGAGACAGGAACTCATATAGGGCAGATAACGAGGGGCAGACAGGTGAGCACAATGAGGTGATTAACTGATAATGAGAACAGGAACAACCAAATAAGGACACAGAGGGAGAAACCACAATCGACAGTCCACAGGGGTGTGACAAGACCAAGCCCTGGTAAGTATACCTAAAATTGCTAGATATCTTGCTTTTAGCCACATGTTTAACGGCGCTACTGTTCTAGACCTCGTCACACCATTGTGAGATATAAACCACAAAGTTTTTCATTGCGTTACACTATGAAACCAGAAGAATTTCATGTTTCCCTGATTTTGTTAGTTCTTTCTGTTTGAATTTATCACTATTCTTTATTGTATTTTCATGTGTAATTGTAATTGTTTTCCTTACGCATGGGCCAGAGCATTCTTGGCCTATAAGGCAGCATATTTTGGGTTTTTAATCAGTCCATATGTACAATGTTTTGGATCATCAAAAAAATAAACATAATAATAATAATATGTGTAGCTCTACCTTGACTTCTTCCTCAACATGTCTTTTGAGATCCTCAATTTGCTGTAAAAGCCTGTTTTCCTCTAGTTAACTGTGAAACAAGTGCTTCTTTCTCTTCCAGTTGACGGCTAAATTCACCTTAGAAACAGGTTACAGATATTAGCATGAAACAAGAATCTTTTAACTCAATTTAGTTTTGAGTTTTTTTTACATGTGTAGCTTACTCTCTTACCATTTTCAGTCAGAAGTCTTGCTCGTTGTGCATTAATGTCATTCAACTGGCGACTATTTTCATCACTTTTGGCCTTGATTTCACTCAGCTGGTCTTCAAGAGTGCGGCACATCTTCTCTAAATTACCCTAAAGAGATTAGAGATTATATGAATATGTTTGTAAAGATGATTTTGTACTTATTAATGATCATCTAGTGACATTACCTTTGCTTTAGCCACAGCCTCCATGTTGCTTGACAAGTCATCAATCTCCATCTTGTATTCACTCTTCTCCTTCTCCAGCTTCTGCTTGACCCGCTGGAGGTTGTCGATCTGTTCTCCGAGTTCAGCCACACTGTCTGCCTGCTTCTTTCGGAGAGCTGCAGCTGTAGCTTCATGCTGCAAGGTAGACTCTTCCAGATCACGACGCATCTTCTGGAATTCGGCTTCGCGCTTCTTGTTCATCTCAATCTGAGCAGCAGTGGCACCACCAGCTTCCTCAAGCCTTGGTCTCATTCTTATGCCAAACATCTTACATCGTCCACTTGCTGCTCACGCTTTAAATATTATAATAAACCCATTACTTCATCTTATTACTGTTCATATTAATAATCACTTCTGGGACCAAGCTGTTCTTGTACCCTTTTGTTGTACACTGCGGTACTCTAAACCGTCTATTAGACAGATGATGCTGGAATTCATAATACAGGGGATGGACCATTTTACAATTTGGTTAATAGAGTTCTGGCTCTTTAAAGATAAATTCCCGTACCAGGACACCAAAGAAAAGGACAAAATAGATTAAATACTACAAAGAAATCTAAAATCCAACCCATTAAGTTATTACTCAATTTAAATTGTTCTAAAAGCCTACTTACTAAAACGTGAAGTTGAATTATATTAAAAGCAGAGGAAAAATCTACAAATAAAAGTCTTGCATGAGACCCCTTCCCCTCCAAATGTTTCACAAGTGAATGTATCAAGGTCACTGTGTCATCCTCTACACCTTCGCACATCGCTTAATATATCTGAGATGATTTGAAAGATGCCAGATCTTCTAATCATGATAACTGATCCCTGGCTAATTTGGTTCTTCAAACGAATTTGTGGATTTTATTAAAATATCTGGGTTAAGTTGTCTAAGATTACTGTGCTTTCTCGTGTTTCCCCTAAAGGGCAGATTTATCGATACTCGAAACCACGATCAGCAATGCAGCAATTGGCTGGCGGCAAGACAGCAACATAATGACATCTGTTACGTCCTTCGACGTAAGTTATTATTTGTATTTATTTGCATTGGTATATATTGTATATGTTGTATTGTGTGTTACGGATTGTGCGCAGTTCCCTCCCTCTCCTTCTGGCAGTGCTTGATTGGGACCAGCTGCAGGAGATTGCGTGGTGAGCGGGAGCGTTTAAATGCTGGGAAGCAGAGCAGCGTTGGAGAGCTTCTGTAGTGTGTGCGTTGTGAAGCTCCACCGCGGGTGTCGTGCTGTTCCATCCTCTGTCCCCTGCCCCAGACAACAGTTGGTTGTGTAGTGTTGTTAAACGACGGTGTTATTGACTTGCCGTTGAAAATAGTGCGAGTAATCATTCTGAGTGGTGCTTTCCTGGACTGCAAGGACTAAGCTATATCTGAGTCCTCCATAATCCGATCCTTAAGAGTTTTTGTTTGTTAACAAGTATTCGTTATTTGTATCATTTATTCGTTATTTGTAAACACCTATTTGTCATTTCCGAAGCAGTAGGTTGGGGATTGCCATTTATTTTGTGAATGTCGTTTTCTCCTGTTTTTTTGGCCAGAGAGGGAGGTAGGGAAAGACCTCTGTATTTCTTTTGGGAATTTTTGTTTGTTAGGCAATTTGAACTTCTCTAAACCCTTAGTTAGTTTCCCTTTGGTTTGTTATTTTGGCCTAGATCCCCTTCCGAAGAGATGTGCTTCCAAACATCACTTTAAGATGTAATAAACAAACTTTTTCGCTTGAGAATAAGCCTCTATTGTGGTCATTGTGAGCCGGGACAGGAGAGGAGCTAAATTTTTCTTTAATTTTATTCTTGTCGGCCTTACCAACCCTAGACTGGTCGGGACGTGACGCATCATATAATTAAAAAAGACACCTGACGTAAAACTTTCTGGACCTTTATAAGGAAACAACCAAGTGAACAAAACTACATAAATGTTATAATAGATAAATGAAATGTGCACTTCTTTTATTTTATTTATTTATTTATTACATGATTCCCATTTATTTATATTCACGATTTCTAGTATTTGTACAGGCTTTACATTTTTATTTCAATGTTGTAATTATCAATTCATGTAATTTTATCTTTGAAGCAGATGTTATGTGAAAGCATTAATTAAAGTTTCTTAAGGGTCAAGATCAAGATATCTGCATCTCCTGCAGCTCCATCAAGCCACTCCCATAATATCTGCCAGCACTCAAATTAATGCACAACTCAAATTAACTGTATAGCATGTGTGTAAGACTCGGAGAAACGACAAACAACAAGTCACACAGCGTCACACACTGTGGGCTAGAGTGAGAGGCGTCCGGAGGGCTTGCGGCACCCACATGTGACGACTCCGGGCTGGACTCCGCTTCATCCACGGTGAAAGCCGATCCGGCGATCCACAGCACTAAGTTGATGTATTTCCTCAGCGACCAGCACAGATCAGCTCTAGACATGACGAAGCAGATATCATCCTCTTTTGGAAGACTAAACAAAGTAGTTTCGCTTTCACAACGAAAAACACAGCGTCTTCACGACATGGCGACGGCGGCAAAAATACTACAGCAAGAATAAAAGTTACGGCTTCTTTCTTTGCGTGAACATTTGGGCGGCGTTATGCAAATCTTCCCACATAGTGACGTAGACATGTGGGGGCGTGTTAGAACGAGCCGTTTAACGAGGTATAAAAGTCTTAACTTTTATAAAGAATATCTCTTTGGATTTGAGACTTTAGTCTTTGCAACTTTACAGATCTTCTTTATGCACCAAGAGCTTGTAACACTCCAAAGAGAAAGGAACAATTGAAATCGCATCATATGAACCCTTTAAATATCAATTCCACTTAAAAAGATGCAATCTAATCCGGTTTATATGAAATAAGCTGCTCCCGAGCAGGTTTAAGCTTACGGACATGTTACTATGACAGCAAGCCCACGATGAGCTTCGAAGAACAAAATAATCCAAGATCATGCCAAATCGTCAACAATCAAATCCAGCTAACTGAGTTAGCGACGTAGAAAGAACGGGCCCCAGCAAGCTCATGCAAATCATCACCACAGCTTTCTTTAAGCATAGTCCAATCCATGCAATCATAACACTCTTGTAAAAAGAGCATATAATCTCCAGTCCAAACCTTTACATCTTGTTTTGTACTCTCTCTCCTTAAAACAGTCTTATATGTAGGCAATAAAAACACTCAGTTGTGATTGACCGAGCCCAATCACTGACCTATAACACAAATTTAGTATTTTATTCCATCTGGGCAGGTGACATATTAATAATAGTGTGTAAGTGCTTTTTTCAGCGACTCAGGATTAAAATCGCTCAATATAAAACTCAGTACTTCAGGTGAAATCGACTGTACTTTTTGTACCACCTCAAAAATGTTACTAAAAATAATATTGCAGTTGTCAACATACATCAGTGGCAATGAACTCCTCCACGTCATTGATACTCTTGACAGTGATTTCACCCTGGCTGATCATTGGGTAGTCATAAGGGTTGGCCATGTCCTCAATTCTGTCAAACAATGGGAGGATTCATTGGGAATATTTCATCTTATTTTACTGTAACAGTCTGTAATGAACATTTTTTTGACTTTTTTGTACACACATTTATACACTATTTAAGTGAAGAACTTTGACCTCTGAAAACTCAAGCACAGGAACACATTAAATAGCGTTTTTTTTATCTGTTGTACTTTCCCACTGTGAGTTTTGACATTAGCTTTGCCACCCTCTTTACTAAAAAGAATACCTTTCAGGTACATCTCATCTGCATCTGTCATGAAGAATGCTGATTTGTCATCAAAGCGGGTTTTCTGAGCCTTGATTCGCTCTCTTTCTGGCTGCCAGAGATAAATGGCCGCCGAGCCGAAACACTCCATTTCACCATCTCCCATGATTGTACTTTTCTGTTAAAACATGTTAAAAGGTACACATTTTTAGGTGTCAAACTTACTTAAGTTATTAATTATTCTTTTGCATTAACATAGTATTTTCATTAAAGATGCAGTATATCATTACGTGTACGCCCAAGCTGCTCACCTTTTTGTTTTCAAGGCCAGAAAGGTTTCTGCTAGGTTCTGTAAAATAAATACATGGACACAGACTATTTATTGGAAATTGTTTTCTGTTAATATATAATCTCATGTATGCCCTTTTTCTTTTAATGATATCAAACATTCCTATTAATGGCAACCAAATGTAAGGACACTCATGTAAAAGCGATTTTTAATCTCAGAGAGGTCTTTCCTCATTAAATAAATAAATAAAATAAGTAAAATTATACAAGTATATCCAAGATGATTCCCTTGTCTAAAGTTCAATAAATGAAGTATTCAAGACAAGCATAATGCAGCCATCCCAAAAAAATGCTTCTACTCTGTCCACATAGATGAAAAGTCCTGTAATGATTAGTAGATTTGTTTGGGCAAGAGTGAATATCCTAGACATTTGTCTGAGTGGGAATGGGAATCAGACACTCAGGTTTTCAGTGCTTCTTCATGCTGTCAGATAATCCAGCTGGCACTCTACCAATGCAGGCACGGCTGTGGAGGAGCTGTCAAATGACTCTGGTATACAGTTTCAAGACATCTGCAAGTTGAGCGCATTTATAAATAGGTCAAAGTCATATTAATGAAGATGGTGTGTGGTGTGAGAAGGAATGCAATCTAAATACACAGCCTTAATGTTTCTTTAATAGCTTATTCAGATGCTTTGAGCTCAACCACCAACATGCACGTTCCTTACAGACTGGAAATGAACATGAAATTTTAAATGGCAACCTGGTGGTGCAGGTCTCTGAGTAATAGAGACACAGATGGTGAATGCGATATGAGGTAAATGTTGACACGGCTTTGTCCTTTAGCAAGGGGTTAAATTGAGATGCATTTAATTGAAGCAGCAACAAGGAGACACATTCCTTCCGTTTTCCTTCAAGACCCTGAATCTGCTTTTGGCAGAGGTCAGAATGTTCATGGAATAACAGAGGGCTTACTCAAGAAACCCAAGAAGCCAGCAGACCTTATAAGCTCTGGAAAATGTCTCGCCCTTTACAGCTGTTTGCTTGATCTTGCTTAAGGTTAATATACATGTAAAAATAGATCAAGGTTGTGTCAATTTGTCTTCTGCTGTATCTGAAGCAGTGATGGCAAAGAGATCATGTGAGATCCAGTGAGATGTGTGTTTTGCTTTTTGTTTTGTCTGAGGAACTGTAGAGTATATTCCCATTCATCAAAATGCATCCTACCTTAGTGTGTGTATAGAAACACTGAACGAGTCTTTACACTCTCAACTATCCAAACGCTGAACAGACTGCACATACTTCTGAAGGCACCTCAGAGTGGAGCGGTTTTTGAAGTCTGCCTCAAATGTGCAGATCATTGTAAGTACATGCTGGATTATTGTTTAACTGCTTTCTCAACACTAGAGGTCAGTGGCTTTTTTGGAATCATTTATCATTCATAAATCAAGGAAACAAAATGTCTCCAACTCAGAAATATGATTTAAAAATAATTACATTTTGGTTCTGAATAAAAGATACATTTATAATTCAAATTAAACCAAAGACAAAAAGTATTTGACAAGTGCATAATAATAGGTAATAGAAAATCATTAAAATTATAAGTATTATAAATATTATGTATAAATTGGCATGCAAATTAGCACTGTACAATGATACAAATACATGTCCTGGATGATGTGATTCTCAATGTGAGTTTATGTGGTACTGAAAAAAAAAATGTTGAAACTAAAACTGTAAAAATAAATGAATAAATAAAATGACAAAGAAACATCACTCGTGTTTTCATCTGTGTGAACTATTTTCAGCACTGCTGTTGTAATTCTGCTCATTGATGGTCTGGATAGTTGGACGAGGCCAAAGCATTTTCAAATGAAGTTCTAGGGTGAGATTTACAGATATCAGAAATAAGAAATGTTTTTCTTAAGGAGAACAAGATCTGAATTTCCTAAGCATAATAACCCTTGCTGTGTACGGACCTGATGGTCTAAATGTATTTAAGTTTTATTTAAGCCACAGAAAAGATCATGTATAATACAGGACTTTAAAAGGTTATGAAATAGCAACAGTTAATAACCTGATCTGTCTTCAATTCCTAATTCAGAATGATGGAGTAACTCAATGGAATAATTGCATGCAATAAATATAGGCAATAGACAAATGGGACAAGTCAGGAAGATTATTTACAAAGCAGTCTTTTGTGGTAGAAGTGATGGTTCCAACAAATTTGAAACAAGGAGACAAATCTACAGTTTTAGCTAAATGGAGTATACACAAAACTAGATAATGATCTGAGATATCATCGCTCTGCTGCAGAATTTCAACGTCATTAACATCAATTCCATTTGATAATATTAAATCTAAAGTATGTTTACAGCAATGAGTGGGTCCTGACACGTTTTCTAACTCCAATAGAGTTTAGAATGTCTGTGAATGCTAGTTCCATTGCATATTTAACATTATCTACATGGATATTAAAATCACCAACAATTAAGACTGAGAATCTCAGAAAATCAGCAAATTCTTTGATAAAGTCTGTATGGTGCCCTGGTGGCCTGTTTACAGTAGCCAGTAAAAATGTCAAAAGTGATTTATCATTAGCACTTATTACACTAGATGATTTTATATAAAGCACCATTACTTCGAACAAATTATACTTGAAACTAGACTTCTGAGAAACACTTAAAATATTACTATAAATTGTAGTAACACCTCCCCCTTTAACTTTTGGACGCGGCTCATGTTTATAACAGTAATCTTGGCGAGTAGACTCATTTAAAATAATGTAATCATCTGGGGCCTCATTTATAAAATGTGCGTACGCACAGATTTGATCTTAGAGTGTGCATACGCTAAAATCCACAGCAATGTTCATATTTATAAAAACGGTCTTTGACGTGGAAAAGTACTTACCGCCATGTAGACACAACAACAGCCTGTCTACATGCTTCTCTGGTTCCATGCAAATTGCACAAGCTAATTATGATCTAATAACTGGCAGACTGTCCAGCATTATTACAGGAAGAGAAGGTTAAATTAATAGCTTATCATCTGCCCTAAGAATCAGTCATTTGTTTTTAACAATCATAATTCTGACATTAAATCTTCATTGCCTGTCAAGATCTTAAGGGAGGCCTGCCAATTTGCTGCCTCAATGAGAATTAAAGCAAGTATTGCTCAAGCTAGAGTCTGTTTTTCAAACGAGACTAACTTCGTTACCAGGGGCCACGGAGTAACGGAGGCTGGGCCCGAGACATCTGAATTCTTCAGCCTAGAGAGGATACGTACCTGGTCCCCTTGAAATGAGAGTGCATTTTGGGAATTAGATGTTTTCAGGATGTAGGTTTATAGCTGGCTACATAGAAGAAATCCTAAGTGTGGTTGTTGTGTCCTCATGAATATTAGCGAACAACATTCGTGTTAGAATATTACAGTTGACTTTAATTTGCTTAGAGAGTGCTGTGTTTTTAATTTGCTTAGAGAGCGCTGTGCTGCATTTATAATCTCTAAAAGACATCTCAGTTCATCATTATAATATATCACAAATCTCTGTTATAACACAATAAATATATGCATAATGAATCTTTCATAATGTCTACAATTCGTGTGTTATAATGAGAGGATTCGTGAGCACGCAAATTTCAGCACTGCATTGCTCAACGCTGCAAACACGTGTTACTGTCACGAATCTGAAGGGGGGACTCAAATGCAGAGTGAGTGTTAACAGATTTATTGAGACGGACTTGCAGACAAGACGAGAGATGGTGAGGAGAGGGGTGAACACAGTCCAAACGCTAGGCAGGCAAAGACTTGGAAGACAGGCAGGCCTGGGTGATCGGTCCCAGAGTCCGGTCCAGGATGGCAGACCGCCAGAGAGCAGTGAAGGCAGTGAAGCTGGAGGCCGGGGTAAGCAAAGGTAGCCAGACACTCCTCACCACTCCGCAGCTACTCCACACTCATGATGCATCAGGAATAACGAACTGACAACACACGGGGGGATGTATCAGGCACTGCACAGGCCTAGCAGCGTGGCAGACCCGGGGAGATGACCAGTAGCTCAGCCTGCAAGTCAGAACAGGGCAGAACAGGACAGGACTAGACTGAGGACTGACAAGAAACTTAATACAAACACAACGAACAATCTGGCGGGGAGAATTCAGGAACACGACGAATAGGAGTGATAGCAAACACGCAAGTTGAAACAATGAACTGACAATACAAGAGAGGAAGGGAGCACAATATAAATGGGCAGAGAACAGGAGGAACAGGTGACAACACTCAGACAAACGAGGAGTGAACAAGGGGGCGTGGCAACGGGAAACAAGGAGGCAGGACGACAGAAGCACATGGCAGACAACAACAAAGACAGAGCCATGTGCTCACACACAACGCAAACAAGGAAACATTAAACAATGACAAAACAGACAAAGCACAGAGGACAGGATCATGACAGAATCATTAATTCATTCAAAATAAACAATCACACAAAGACATAATGAAAAAAAAAATACATGCATTACACTGGGCAACTTTTTGAGCAATTTTGCCAGGCAACTTTCTTTGAAAAATGTTACTTGAGCACTTTTCCATTGAGAATGGGTAACAAATTTCTGTCTGGATACTTTAAATCGTTCGTGGGCCCTGTGTCTCATCTGGTTGCCCATTGAAGCCAACATTGCTCAAAAAGTTGCCCAGTGTATCATCAGCCTAACAGTAGATGAAATCGCTTAAAGTACAATTCCTTATCATTATACTTTTGGAAATGTACCATGGTTTTCCTTGAAGTGGGTACATTGAAGTAGCTTACCATGTAAATACTTCAAAGTAACATCAGCCTTTCAAGTAATGAGCACCACTTCTGATGGCCTCATTAATGGACTTTCAGCATGATTCATATATTTGTGAGGACATTTTTAATATTTTGTTTCCCATTTATAGCAAACCCTATGTACAGGGGGCTGGAGCCCTCACTGGGCTAAACTCGGGGACTGGAGCCCTCACGGGAGCGAGCTTGAGAACTGCTCTCTCAGGAGAGGATTCGGGAACTGCTCTCCCTGGAGTGG